GCGAAACTGTTCTGCCCACTCTTGAAGATAATTGTACGCATCAACTAAAAATGTATGTAGATATAAATATGTACATAAGTGAGCTAAGTAAAAACTGGGACGCGACATTTTAGCAAGGTTTGACTATTTTCTTTAGTTTGCTTAATGTTTATTATATTTTTATGAATGTATAGCTGATTACTTGACAAACACCAAATAAATCCAAATTTCAGACTTTGTGCAAAAATTAAGAAAATTTTGCAAAGTTTGACCAAAATTTCTAGCTATGCAGTTTTGTAGCCCATTAAATTTTAGTATAATAAAGTGCAAATTTGGAGTGTCGAACATACCTTGTATGAAAAAAATGCGGAGCACCGTCAACAAAAAAACTTGCCAAAAGTCAATGGTAAGTCCCAGCTACTCCATATTTGCACTTTATTCCTTTTAAAATTTCATGGGCTACAAAACTTTTGGTCGAACTTTGCAGAACTTTCATAAGTTTTGCACAAAGGGCCTGTGCCAAATGATAGAAAAGAGAAAATTTTGACGGATCAAAGTAAAAATCTGACATTTCTCGTGGTGAATAAGAACGTCAGAATTTTACCTAGCTCATGGGGCTAGGTAAAATTTTGACAGCTTATAACCATGTATACACATAATATTGCTTGGCGGTAATAAGGAGTGAACATGAAAATGAAAGCTGGAACAGCATAAAAAAGCGTACGTTACTTGCAAATTATAAAATAAATATAAATTTTAAGAATTTCAGCAACACACAAAAATAAAGCTTTCGCACGAGCGTTTGTTTGGTTTTTCAACTGTCAAAATTTAACTCTGCATTTGGCACAGCAAAATTCAATTTATTTGTACACCATAGCAAATTTTTCCACCCCGTCTCACCACGGAGAAAAAAGTTACCGATTGGCACAGGCCCTAAGTGTGAAATTTGGATTTATATGGTGTTTTTCAATAATCAGCTATACATTCATAAAAAAATAATAAATATTAAGGGCCGGTTACTCAATGTCTGGTTAACACTAACCTCCGTTTAAACATCACTATCGACGGGTTCGGCTCCATGCATATAAAATGGAGTCGGTAACGTCGATAACGATGTTTTACCGGAGATTATTGTTAACCAGACATTGAGTAACCGGCCCTAAGCAAACTAAAGGAAATAGCCAAACCTTGCTAAAATGTCGAGTCCCAGTTTTTATGAGGTTCACGGAACATATATTAAAAACCATACATATTCAATGTTAAAATTACGTAACACCCTTGGAAGGTTTCAAATACGCTGTCAATAACTGATGCATCATAATCTCCAGTTTGAATTGATCGATTTCTTTCAATTGCCGTGCTTAGCATTAAAAAACGTTCTTCTTTTCGTAAAATTATTTTGGCCTTCAAATCGTCCACACACTGTGCAACATCAACCGCAGATATGTTATCGCCTTCTATTTTTGCAATAACTTCATGGAAATATGTAGCCTAGTTTTGAAACATAAATAACATTAAAAATATAAATATGAGAAAACTTTTAAATACCTGCTCCTTGACGAAAATCAACCAAAGTTTACACAAAGGATTATTAAAAAA